TGATGGACTTTAAGGCATTTTAATCCATACTTGTAACAAAAAGTGCCCTTGGGCTGCCATGGTGGCCCCTTGATGGCTACTTAAGTCCTGATCAACCTTTGTTCCCTCCTCTCAGGGTTTCCCCCTGCTATCTCACCTGCCATGGCTTTGATGTTGTTGATGAAGAGGGGAGGCAGCCCTTAGAAGATGGCGAGCCCTAGGCGCTCTTCTTAGTCCCTTTTTTCTACTCCAGGAGCTCATCCTGGCCTGCTTAGCTTTAAGTTCACACCCTAATGTCCTAATGTCCTAAAATCTCTCTCCACCTGAACTAATTTTTCTAGCTCAGGTCCTCTGGTTTGGTCCCTGGCTCTTTGGGCCTCAGCCTTACAGCACAGGTTACCTACCTCCTTTGGCCGTTCAGCCACTCCAGTCCTCTGGGTATTTGACAAGCATAAAAAAAATACACCACTACAACTGAAATATATGCAAACTGCTTTTTGTAAAATTTGCCTCCCACAAACTATAACTCCCAGATCTAGGACCATTCTCACCCTTGTGGGTAGCTTGGGCGTTTTGGTCACTGCAGTCAATTTCCCTATTGGAGCTCCTTTCCTTGAAGCCTGCAGGGTCTGACTTCATGCTCTGGCCCAGGGCCTAGGCTTATATGTCTGGGAGCCCCACCCCATTTTGGTTACATATCTTCCCCATAGGCAAGAACAAGAATTTTACTCTTTTCATTAAGGGTCAGTACTCCTACTGCTGCATACTCTTAAAGAGACAGGAGCCCCAAGCTCCCTGGTACAGATCCCTTCTTTCTGGACCAGCTGCTTTAATCCCCAATCTTACCCCAAATATCTGTTTTTCATTTCTTAATGCCATCTGCCTGATCTCCCACTATGTGGACCACTTTGGCTCATGCCCCAGATGTGCAGATTGGGTTTTCCTCCCCCTCCATTGTTTCTTGGTAACAGGGCTTGGGTCTCTTTGGATAATACTGCATGACATTGATTAAGAATGATGCAACATTAACATGACATATAAGAAATACATTAGTAGCTGGCTTAAGTGATGGGTTTCATATTATAATTGCAAATGGAGAATAATTATCAAGTGCTTGTATTTATCTGGCTACTGCTAGGGTTAGCTCTAGGCCTTAGCATTTTTACCAATGGTCTGGAAGAAATATAAAATGATTATTGAAAGTTTGCAGATGACACAATGCTTAAGGAAGTGGTAATTGATTACATAATCTAGAGTGATCTTAGAAAGTTGTGTGCCAGTAAACAGTATGTATTTCAATATCCTGAAATGTAAAGTAACAAACAGCACAGAACATGCTTATAGAATGGGGCTTTATCTTGGGAAGCTGTGCTATGAAAAGGACTTGGGGTTTATAGTAGATAATCTATGAAGCATGTGTTCCCAGTATGACTGTATCATCAAAAGGGCTGTTTCGGGCATACTGTACCTAAAAGTCTGCCTTCTCTCTTTTGCCCCATCATGATCTGTAAGCTCCCTAAGAGCAATGTCCTGCTAGTACAGGAAACCCTTGCTAGTCTCGAATCTGCTATTTGAGAATTTGAATATTTGTGGTGTGCTGTGCCAACTGGGTGGGTCAGAGTGAGCGCCGCCAGGGCTCCGTCTGGCACTGCACTGAGCTCCTGTCTCTGCAGTTAAACCAGGCACAGAGCACTGCATGGGGCAGAGGAGGGAAGAGCCGGGGAGAGTGGAGCAGAGAGTAGAGCCGGGTGGGCAGAGGGGGAGGGTAAAGCCGGGCAGGTGGACACCGAGAGCTGGGGATGGGGAGGGAGGTGGTGGGGGCATCTTCTCCCCAGGATGCTGCGGTGGTCAGTCCCCAGGTGCTGCAGGGGAGCCCCGCACTTCCAGCCTCTTGTGGGGGGGGGAGTAAGGGGCTGCTGTGGGGTCTGACAGGGAGCCCTGTCAGTATTCGCAGATTTTGCCATTCACAGGAATCTCCAGAACAGATCCCCCATGAATGGTGAGGGTCTCCTGTACCATCAGTGTGCCATGTTCACACTGATGGTGAAACATCTGGAAGGTTGTTCTTGGTAATTACGCCTCAGGTTTGGAATTTTCTCTTCCATTGAGTCGTACTAGAACATGAGTCTGGATATCGTCTAGAGATGTATTGAGACCTTCCTATTTGGGCAGACATTTAGCCAGCCATTTTGGGTTGGGATACTATTCAAGGAACATTTTTTTTTTTCTTCTTCTATTCCATTTACACTTATATGTTGTTCCTGTCTATTATTGAAATCTGTCCTGAGCCTTTGTTGGGAGGGCCAGCATATACATCTAATAAGTACATAAATAACTATTTGGCACAGGCATGGTTATTCCTCTCCAATATGGTGTCTGATCTTGGTATCTAGATTGCATTAAGGAAACTGATAAATTGTTGTGGTTTTAGAGCACCACAGGACCTACTAATGGATTGAGCTTTACAGTCAAAGACTCGGGGACTCAATCCGCTTAGTTTATAAAATACAAGGCCTCTGGAACTGACAGAATCTCCACTGAAATCTTCAAACAAGGGGGAAGAGGAGCTCACATCACAGCTCCATGACTTCATCTTAATGATCTGAAAAAATGAGAAAATCCCAGATGACCTTAGGGATGCCACGATAGTGAAAGTCATCAAATAGGAGACAGGTCGAACTGGAAATTACAGAGGGTGTTTTCACATGTGCCCTGGAGGTGGTGGGGTGGGGAGAGGGGAAAGGTGCTTTAATTAGAGCAGCTCCACTCCAAGAGCCACCTAAAGCGCCTGGAGCCTTCCGTGTATCACCTTCCCCATGCTTCAAAAAGGTGGTGGGGTTGCTTTATCTAAAGCCCATCAAATGCAGGGATGCTGATACCTGAGATGTGGAGGCTGGCTGGAGTGAACTTATTAGTATGCCCCAGAAGACTCAGTCAATCAATTGCAGCCCATCAGAGCAGACTTCTGATTTGTGTTTGGGCACCCAGAGGGATCACCTTGTTGTCCACCACAGGAAAGATCATTGTGAGAACCCTTCTGAACTGGCTCCTTCCACTTCATAGATTTCATAGACATTAGGGCTGGAAGGGACCTCAGAAGATCATTGAGTCCAGCCCCCTGCCCCAGGGGCAGAAAGTCAGCTGGGGTCAAAGGATCCCAGCAAGATAAATGTCCAAATGTCTCTTAAAGGAGTCCAGGGTAGGTGCTCACACCACCTCTGGAGGCAGTCTGTTCCAGGCCTTGGGGTCTTGGACAATAAAGAAGTTCTTTCTTATGTCCAGGCTGAAACTGTCTTGGAGGAGTTTGTGACTGCATTTACCGAAGATCTCCTCCTGAAATCTCAGTGTGGGTTAAAGGCATCAAGAAGCACAACTGACATGATCTTCACAGGGCACCAGCTGCAGGAAAAATGCCAAGAAAAACAAATTTATTTTCATGGCCTTCTTTGACCTTATGAAAGCGTTCAACTCTGTCAACTGAGAAGTTCTGTGTAGTATCCTCTTGAAGTATGATGTCCACCAAAATTCAACCACCATTCTCTGCCTATTCCATGACAGTATGTGAGTGCTGGTTCTCAGTAACGGATCTACTGCAGATCCCTCCCAGAGGTGAAGATGGGAGTTAAGCAAGGCTGAGTCATCACTCCAACACTCTTCTCAATATTCTCAGTATTCAAAATCAGGAGTTATGCTTCCGAACAGGAGACTAAGTTATGCTTTCTCTCAAGCAGGGCCCCGAGGTCCATGGGACACATGGAACAATAGTTACGTAGCTTGTGGGGAAACTTGTGCTACTTCTCCCTTTGTTATTCCTTCTTAGTGGATTGATAATGCTTGTGTCTCTAGGGTACTTAGGTAAGTATCTTCCATATGCAATAGAATGCCTTGAGTTCTTACCTTAACAACCACAGAGACAAAAGGGAGTGTTTCCTTCCTATATTCCATGTGATTAGCTCTATTAAGGTAAATGGAAACTATTCAAGGAAAACAATATTATTGGTTAGCGTTTAGTCTGGTCTCTATCTCTGTCTTCATTGCAGTGCTCCTAATGAATTCCTCATTGACTTGTTTTCCTGGCAAAGGAAACAAGGCCAATGCTGCAGTATTTGGGAGTGAAGGTGAGATGTGAGTACAATAGCTGTGTCTAGGGAAACTTACTTCAGTTTCCTGATTTCCTGACAAATGAATGAAAACAGGAGGAAAGAGTAGGAAATTACATAGTGACCAACTTTGGAGAGGAAGAGTAGTCCTGTAATGAATGCATTGAATTGGGCCTCAGAGATCTGTATGCAATGCTTGGTTCTGTCAGGGACTAGCCTTCTGATTTTTTTGGGCAACCCACTTAGACCCCTGGGTAAAAATACTTTTCCATCACCCTCTGTCTTGCCTACCTAAAGCACAAACTCTTTAGAGCAGGGCAGCTCTTGCTGTGTGTCTGTGGAGTGCATACTGTGTCCAGCCCCAACCTCTGTTAGGACCTTTAATGCAAACTGGCAGTCATTTATAATGATGATAATTCAATGAATGTTCATTATAGAAGAACAGTTTAAATGCTAACTTGAGATGTATCAGACAACAGAACCTGTAGCAAACACTTGACTCTTTATGTGCTGTAAATGTCCTTGTAACCATTCTTAATCTCACTCCCCTGACTGATTTATTGTCCTGCACAGCTGAGGAATAGATACTTCCCTGTACAACATTGGCTGTACTTGGAAGATACTCTAAAAATAATATTGCAGGGTTTCATTATTTATTTGACAATAACTTTCTTAGCAAATATGCTCAGATTCTTTTCCTCATACACCTTGAATGTGAGATAAAGTTACATGAGCAACAAAGAGCCTTCAAAAGTAACTTAACTGAGAACACTGATGTATGAGACACAATCAAATCCATTTTTTACTGCACAATCAAACCCACTTTACTTTTTGGCTTGAGAGCACTAGTATTAGTAACCAACTCATAAAACATCCCCTTTGTCAGTAACAGAAGCAGATGTGACTCAGGCATACGCAAAGCACACTTGAAGAGGGAAAAGGTTGCATTTTTACATGTACACATTTCTGACCTATAACTACATAGGTAAATACTTAATCCATACATAAATACTAGCTTCATAATTCCTCTGTGGAAGAGAACTGCTCTAAATCCTGAACTGAAAGGATTCCTAATATCAAGCAGCAGTTTTGGCAGAGGAGTGATAATTGTCATATTGCAAGTAGTTCAAGCTAAGTAGTCCCTTGAGCTGGTAGGTTTGTGAGATGTTAAACCCACTATGTGCAATGGCTAAGGAGTTCTTCCTTCTCTTTCTATTCTAAACATACCCTGAAGGTTGCTAAAATGTACGTGGTGTGGAATGTATGGGTTGGAGTCTTATCTTGCTACCCACGGTAACCCAATAGGGTTACCCCGTGTATGAGATCAGAATCCAGTATAAGTTGTTCAAGCTTGATGGTTCTCTTAATAAAAGTACAAATGGTTGCTGAGACCCACATTTTACACAGTGCCCTATAACCAAGCAAATCTTTTGAACAGATGTTTTCCAGTTTCCTACTTTCTACCCCTAATAATAATGATGATGTTAATAATGATAACTAACAATTTCTTGTGCTCCTTTAACTGCTTTAAAATTTAACGATCTGACATCTTTTCTTTTATAAACTTTAGTTAACTAAACTTTACAACCCTTAAAACTGTGAGACACTGTTAATAGATATTTTTGTACAGTTTCCTCCCACAAAATACAGCATACCATACCTCTGAAACCTTTAGGAAAGATTAGATTATATATTTTAAATGTTTTCAGAACTTAAGAGTAAGATTCCTTGTCTGTCACACTGGAATTTAAAGAAAAGCTGAACCAAACAAACGTGCCTGGTTATAGGACAAACATGGGAAATTTCAAATGGGAAACATTTTGAGTTTAAGAATGGAATTAAAATAATCATTATAATGGAAGATTATTTATAAATCAGCTCTGGAGTTACTGCTTTTGAAATTCCCATGGGGGGTTAAATGCACAAAGAATTAAATACCTAAACCAACCTAGCAACATGAGTGCTGTCAGATACTAGAGGCTCCTAAAGTCCAAAAGTTACTATCAGTAAAATGTCTCCGGCAGCTAAATTTTTCCAAAATCACTTGTCTTGATGGCCCTGAGTAGTTCAGTAATTCTTTCCCAGCAGGGCTCATAAACCAGGCCTTCCCTTGCCTCTCTCCTTGTGGGTGCCTTATTTGGTAGGCATTGCCAAAGTGCAAAAGATAGCTAGAAGGAGGAAGAGGGCTAAGTCTTAGGTGATTGTCTAAGCCACAAGGCTGTAGAGGGCAATTTCAATCTTCCTTTAGCCTTATTAATATTTAGTTATTGTATACAAGGTAGAAGAACTTCCATAGGAAATACTGGGAGAGCCCCACTATAGAATATATTATAGACCAGGGGTGGGCAAAATGGCAGATCTGGCCCATGGCTGGATTCCATTTTCCAGCAGCCCCTGCCCTTGTCACCACAGCTGGCTTCCATGTAGACCCCAGCAGCAGCAGTGCTGTGACAGCGTGGGGCCAGGGTTTCCATGGAGACAGGCCCCAGCAGTGCTGGCAGGGTGTGTGGATGGGCAGGGAGCTGCTCCATGGCTGGGGCTGGGATCTTGCAGTAGTGATAGTATGGTCCAGAGCTAGAATAGAGCTACAATCCACTGCCTGTATGCCCCTGCCTAGGGCATGCAGGAAGTGGATTGGAGCTCTGACCGGGCTCAGGACCCCACTGTCACCACTGCAAAATCCTAGCCCAGAGTAGCTCCCCATGACAGGAGCAAGCTTTCATGCTCGGTGCCAGCACTGTCCTGCCTCCTGTCTGTGAGCCAGCCACTCACCTCACTCATTTGCCATGCCTTGATGTAATAGGTGTTAATTAGGCAGGAGGCTGCCCATTTTGAACCCCGATGTTTAGGGGAATATCCGCAGCTCCATTCCACCCCTACACTGCAGCCCAAGTCTCACAGATGGCATCCCAGGCGGCTAAACTTGGGCGTACCCTTCACCCCATTAGCTGTGGTTCCCTCTCTGGGACCTTCAGGTCCCCCTTAGATCCTGGCCCCATCTCAGGCCAGTCGGGACCCAGAGCCTCTTTGCTCTGTGGGCATCCCTTGCGGTGGGCCCTTGGCCCTTTTGACCCCTCTTGGGTCCTGGCTCCAGTATGGACCAGTCTGTGTACTTCAGGTCGGCTCTAAGCTGCATGCCTGCTCACAGGGTTCAGGGGTCCCCCATTCCTGGCTCAGGTGCTTTGCAAAGTGTGCCTGGCCCCACAGGATCACTCACCCCAAAGTTCAACCTGCACTAGACCCTGCCCCTGCAGTAGACTTTTGACTGGGTTACTCACTTGAGAAGTAGAATGCTTGGGGTCCAGCTGTTATACGAATCAGAAAGAGAAGCAAGGATCTGACCCTGGATCTTTAACATCCTGGTAAGGGCAAGTGAGTGGGTGAGTGAGTACAATGGAGGTGTAATTGATTTTTCATTTAAGACATGGGACCACTTCAGCCAGGTAGACATTTAGAAACTTTTCAGAAATAAACCTGTATGGTCTAAATCCTAATGGGGAATCAGTGGGGTTAGATGTCTGAATATTTTTGAGGATCTTAGGCCGGGTTTGTTTCAATAGCAAATGATGCATCTAAAATAGGAGTTGGGTGTTTGAATACTTCTGTGAATTTGGCTCTCAGTGACCTACCAGATGTCACAGAACAGATAGATAACAAAGGTGCAGGTGGCACTTCAAAGTCTGCTGCCTTCCGGGCTGTTGCCTTTTATATTGATGAAGATTGTCTCCCACCCTTGAATTCAGTCTGAAGAACACTATGTAAGTTCATTTGTTTTGAAAGCTAGTTAAAATTGGTAAGGGACAGCAATGATCCTGCCTATCATGGTAATAGGATGGAAATAAATTCTGCTGGGTTTTCTAAATTCTAGACTGCTTATGTGATGAATATGTATACTTTGGGTCTGCCTCATGAACTTTTGGTTTCTTTTATTGTTATCTTGAAGCTGATTGTTCAATATTTTTGTTTATGGGGTATAGTTAAGTCGGGACATATCCAATAATGCATAAAATACCATTGTCTATTGAATACAACATGAATTGCTTCCATGTCCAATGCTGACTTGAAAAATAGGAAAAGTATATGATATTGTTAGTGTATAGGAAAACAATCTATGTCAATCTGCTGATCAATTTTAACACTGTATATTGTTAACATGGACATATATTATAGCCTGATTTTGCAAACAGGAATATGTCGTTTTACTCAAAAGAATCTTCCCATTCATACATGTCATTGTTTGCTAGGTTGGATTAGTGATTTTTTTTTTTTTTTACATTTACTTTCTAAAATGATTTTGTATTGTGCTTGTAATTATTGTTCTTTCGTCAGAGAACTCAACTTATGTGAGTCAGAAACAAGGTTATGATATTCTTTGCATTACAATATGTAATGAGGTCCTCCAGAATCATGGTATAAACAAGTTCTGCTACAAATGTCAAATTGTTGTAATTCCAAATATGAACTGGCAAAATGTTGGGTTTTAGGGATAAATTGTTGGTCCCTGGTATAAAGAAATAACAGCAAATGGTATTTAAACCATCAAAAAGCATCCATTTGCCTTGTTCAATGTAGGCCTAAATGTCATTGTGGCTATAAGTTGTAAGAACTCAGATATTTTTATAAACTGTGTCCGTCTGCTTTAATTCAGGCTCTCAGTTTCAGGAATCCTCTGCTTCTTCTCTGTGGTTCTACATGGTTCCTCCTGAAATGCAAAATCTAGCATATACTATACAGTTGGTACTGATAGAGCTAGTATGAGACTATTTGCCTCAGAAAAACTTTTCAGTTTTCTTTGTGTATATTTGAATACTGGATATTTTTATTTTTATTTTTGCCTAAACCTAAAAAATTACACTGAAACCTGGAAGGAAAAAAAGAAACTTATTGCAAAATACTGTTGACAAGCCTCATGCTTTCATTCTCCTGTATGAACTGAACTTTGTATTTCTGCGACATTTCATGAAGCATTACAGAGTCTCTTTCTGGGACAGGGAGAGTGCTTGCATCAAAGGAGTATA